GGGCCGAGACACTTACTACTACTACTGCTACTACTACTACTACTACTACTACTACTCCTACTACTACTACTACTCCTACTACTACTACTACTACTACTACTACTACTACTGTTATTATTATTACTACTACTGATAATAATGATAATGGTGACAATAATGAGAATAAGAATGAGAATAATAACAATAAGAAGAAGAATAGTAATAAATAATAATAGTAATATAGTTGCGCCCTGAACCCTTGACTACAAATGCTTTGTGCGCTTAAACAGGAAACAAGAACCCAGCTTCGAACCTCGATCTACAATCCAAAGTACTGCAAGCTGAAAACCCGAATCGGTTTAGGGTTTAGAGGTTTAGGGTTTTGGGGTTTAGGGGTTTAGGGTTTAGGGTACCTGGAGCCCTAAACCCCAAGCCCTAAACCCTAAACCCTAACCCTGGAGCCCCAAACCCTATCCTAAACCCTATACTTTAAAAACCTGGAGCCCTAAATGGAGGTGTCCAGCCTCGAAAGCAGATAGCCTGGAGCCCTTTAAACCCTAAACCCTATACCCTAAACCCTACATCCTAAACCGCCAAACCCCGAAATCCCGGGCCATCTATCCATGAAGCCCAGACTGTTTTAGGGCGGTCTGCCCTTGAAGGGTTTAAGGCTTTGCTGTTTTAGGGTCGTATAGGGTTTAGAGCTTTAGGGCTTAGGGTTGGGGGTTCAGAGGCCGAAAATTTAGGGCGGAACTGCTATTCCATGTTTGATTAGTTATAACTAGAGTATCAGACCAACCCCAAGTCCCAAATCCAAAACAGCCCAATCTCAAAACCCCCCAAAAGCGCGCACACAGAGAGACAGGCAAGAACGCCCGTTATACCCTAGGCCCTAAACCCTAAACCCTAAACCCTAAACCCTAAACCCTAAACCCTAAACCCCTAAACCCTAAACCCTATGAGCCCAAACTGAAAACCCTTGAGGGCTCCTTGGGCTCCTTGTTAAGGTGGTTCGTTTTCTTGAAGGGATTAGGATTTAGGGTTTAGGGTTTAGGGTTTAGGGTTTAGGGTTTAGGGTTTAGGGTTTAGGGAAGGGCTCCTTTTAATGAAGGGGTTCCAGAGAGCCCAATACCCCTTAATTAAGGAACAGACCTTAAAATCTTAAGATTAGGGCCCCTATAATTTAGGGTATATTCCTTAAGCAAGGGGTATTGGGCTCTTTGGGTTCCCTTAAGGCCTGACCTGAGCCGGCTGGACGGCGAGGATCTGGCCCGCGCCACAGGGGACGGCGCTGCGAAAGGATGCGATTCGACCCAACTGCGCATTACCAACAAACAAGAAAAATTAAAAAATACAAATATAAATAAATAAATAAATAACTAAGTAAATAAATAAATAAGAAAATATAAATATAAATAAATCAATAAATAAATGAATATATATATATATATACATATGTACGTATGTATAAAACACACATGCCTACACCCGCTCCATACCTTCGCTCAGGACGGGGCTGCCAACCCCGAGCCAGAGAAGAAGATCGAGATCGAGCCGATTCCGCCAGGGCCCTCTCTCGTCACGAAGCGGGCTTGAGCCTAAACCCTAAACCCTAAACCCCAAGCCCTAAACCCTAAATGTTAAGGTTTCGGGGTTTTAGAGTTCTGGTAGTTAGGGTTTAGGGTTTTGCAGGGTTTTTGGGGTTTTTAAGTCTTTTGGGGTTGGGGCTTTGTACAGTCTAGCAGCGCAGATTGTAGATGAGGGCTTTAAGTTTTCTGATAGGGGGTGCAAACACCTAACTAAGTCCTAGACTGTAGTGCAGGGGTTATTACTTTTATGATGTTTGTCATCATCATCATTATTGTTATCATCATTATTATTATTGTTATTATTACCGTTATTAGTATTCTTCTTCATTGCGAGCATTTGTGTTGTTATCAACATCCAGCAATTCTAGGTTTCAGAGGCGGAGCTTCGTCACCTCTGCAGCTCCTCACCGCTTCGGAGGGCGGAGCGATTTTTCTGGGTGCCGGGGTTGATTCCCAGAGAGCCTAATATCCCTTAATTAAGGAATATACCTTAAATTATAAGGGCCTTAATATTATGATTTAAGGTATATTCCTTAATTAAGGGGTATTGGGCTCTCTGGGTTCCCAGCGCAGATCAGGAGAAAGAGTCCGCGTAAGCTATGTAAACGAAGCCAACCCGTGAGCCCATGAACCCCAAAACCCATAATTCTGTAAATCCCTGTAGAACCCCCTACGGAGCCCTCGCAGAGCCCTTCCAAAACGCTGTATACAAAACCAGAGAAACTCCGGTATTTCACTCTGTTGCTGGTGGCTTTAGGTCCGGCTCCTCTGCCCTGGCCTCCTACTGGATGCCGCTTGGCGCAGAGGTTTAGGGTTTAGGGTTTAGGGGAGGGTGATGTTCCGAAGGGGCTTCTTCTGGGGTAGGTCGCAGTCGCAGCAGTAGTAAAAAAAGTCATGGTGGTGGTGGTGGTGAGAAATGATGAACATGTTGCGAGAAATACTACAAGTAGCAGCTATTGTAAGTCCGGCCGAGTGATCGTTGAGAGCACATGTCCAAGTCCGAACTTAGACCCTTTTCAGGTGTGATGGTTTTACAAGCATAAGCCTTGAACCATATTTGGGTTTGGGGTTTAGGGTT